TGTGTGTGTGTGTGTGTGTGTGTGTGTGTGTGTGTGTGTGTGTGTGTGTTATATTTTGTTTTGCTCTACTTTCATTAAAAAGGAGAACACTGTTTCAAAGATTGTAGTTGTGATAAAGTTTTACCTGCAAACGTATCAGGAACATAGTCTTTGACTTCGATGTAAACAAAGATGGCGGGCAGAATCAGACTCAGATTCTTCTCGTTCCTCAGGCCGATGTAACGATAACCTGCAAACAAAACATTTACCAACATAAACAGGCTGACGTAACCATTTCTTTTGATTATTCAGGGACACAAGTATACTATTTAAACTTGGCCGACTGATGATTCTGGTAAATCCCAGACAAAATAAAACCCTTGTTTTACTTCCAGCAGCTTTTGAAAGCTGTGTGGGCTTTTGAGCATGAGGCCAGAAAGCGAGTGTCAATTAAAAAATGTGTTAAAAACAAGAAAATCCTTTTGTCCAACTGTGTTCCTTTTCCTTTTGAATGTTCTGTCACATGGTCAGACAGGTCTGAAAGATTTTTAATAGTCTCACTAAAGAAATAAATATCAACTGGAAATGTCAGAATGGTGCCAACCCACAATTCTAACTTTGTAATAATGTAAACTAAGACTAAACGTCTACATTTTGATAAACAAACCATGCAGAAAGTCTAAAGAAGATCAAAAAATGGTAGTAGCCATTAGGTCACCATTGTAACCCCAAACCAGTGTTTGTCACTCCCTGACTGAACTCTTAAAAGTGGTAAACCCTAAAACACTCAATCAGGTCACAGAAAACAGTTTATAAGTCAAACTGTACAAACTGTTGAAGAAAGGCTGATGTTCCCACATGAGTTTTTATCTTTCTACAGTGTTTTACATAAGAGATCTAACAGGATACATTCATTTCTAAGTTTTAAGAGAATAAACTGAGTTAAACATAACAGAAGTCTAAGGAAGGATAGTGCATTTGTTGTATTGTACTGGAAAAAAAACTTAAAATATCTGTGACATGCATATTCTTCAAATACCAAATGTAAAAAAATAACTTCATATTTATGAAACTAGACATAATACACACAATTTTACCTGTTTTATCACATAACTGGAACATTTTTCTTGAACATGGCTCAGCCAAAATGAAACAGGAAGTGACATCAAAGAGGAACTCTTTAAGATGGTGAACTCCCTGGTCTTAATTTACTGAGATTGAACTCTGACTCTTCTTCATCTCTGATAGAGACTCAAAATAATCTAAAGAAACATCAGATTCTTCTCTACAGTCTGTTGTTAGTTATTGCAAAGTAAGCAAAGTATCTCAACAACTGTTCATCTTATCAACATTATCTTTCCAATCATGACTTCACATTTATTACAAAAAGCTGATGTCACAGGCACTTTGTCTTATAATCGAGTCTCAGACGAGGTAACTCAAAAAAAAACCTATTTTTTTTGTTTTATTTTGTAGTTGAAAACGTTTTGCTTCCATTTGAGAAGGTTTCTTAATTTAAAACCAGAGGATGTGGAATTTTTAAGCTTTTTATTCTGCATGAAAAGCTCAGTTATGTAAGCTAGCTTTATCTGCAGATGAAACTACACACCACTCACAGTGGGGAACTGTTAGGGTCTTTGTTAGCCTGACTCACAGGGAGATATTTTGGTCATATGTAAGGAGGTGTGAGTGGTTACCGGGCCTAATGCTGCAGGTTCTACCAACGCAAGCAGTGTTGGACTTCTGTGCTAGTCACAGTTTGTCCAGAACAATCACCATGTTTGAACATAAAACTGTCCATAAGTGCACGTGGCACCAGGACACTCCAGGACACAGATTGATGATAGAGTTTGTAGCTCAGGCAGGTCACCACCTGGTAGCGAGTTGGATCAGGGGAAGTGCTGAACAGACCCAGCAGACCCAAACATGTCTGTCAGAACCAGTCAGACTTGTTTAGAAGTAGCCTGGTAAATGGTAAATTGTAAATGGTACTGAACTTATAGAGCACTTTTCAAGTCCCTCCGGACCCCAAAGCGCTTTACACTAACAGACATTCACCCATTCACACTCTGGTAAATAATCAGACCTTCACTTTGCTTCGTGAAGTGAAACTAGAATTGAGTGGAACTGCGTAGGAAGACAAGGACCAGGCTTGTTTAGAAGTAAAACATGAAGAATTTGAGCATCTGCATAAATGGAGCTAATCTCTTCCTGTTCAAAAGAGGTTCTGTCAGCTGGATCATTGGACTGTGTTCTGTAATGACAACAAGCAGTAATAAAACTTGTTAAATCACAAGACTAATTTCCTACTTGATAAATGAACACACACAGTAAATCATCAACACATAAAAAATATTTCACAATTAAAAGTCCAGATTTCATCTCTGCATAAATCATGTTTTTTTTTGTCTTAAAAAAGTGTAAGAATGTGTTGTCTCTTGTAATAAAATATTCAGTGTGTGTGAAGCCTTGGAAAAAAACTTATCTGGAAACTTACAAGGATTTGATAATAAAAACAAACATTACACAGCACAGGTCCTGGAACGAGAAGGTCTGAGAAGTATTCCTTCCACCTGACATGACTGGTTGAGGTCAACAGTGCCCCACCTTCACTGAGCACAGTGTTGGTGAGGTGCTGCTTCTCCTCAGACACCAGATGGTTTGATAGAATCTCCTCAAAGCCAACCAAGAGTCTTTATCCAAGGTCTCACTGAACTCCTCCCACATCTCAGCTTTTGCCTCAGCAACAACCAGGGCTTTGGTCCACTTGGCCTGCCAATACTCCTTAACTGCCTCCAGGGTCCTACAGGGCCAGCACCACCAAGTTCAAGGATGGCCACCGCGAGAAGCACCAACAGCTTTGCAGCCTCGGCTCAGGGCAGCCGCCTCGACGATTGAGGCGGGGAGCATGGCCCACTCGGACTCAACGTCCCCTGCCTCTGCTGGGACATGGTTACAGATCTCCTGGAGGTGTGAGTTGAAGATCTCTCTGATGTTTCTTCTGTCAGGAGTCAAACCCTCACTGCATGTTTGGGTCTGCCATGTCTGTCCAGCACCTTCCCCCATCATGTGGTGATCAGTTGACAGCTCAGCTCCTCTTTTCACCCGAGTGTCCAAAACATGAATTGAATTTTTAAAAACTGAGTTTCAAATTTATTTAACATGTCAGAGCCTGTATGACGTAAAAAAAAAATAAAACAATCAATAACATCAAATATCCATTTCCAACCAGCTTGTTTGGGCTGAGCCTGCCGGCGAGCCCCTCCCCCAGGCATGGCTCAAGGATGGGGCCTTGGTGACCCACATCCTGGCCAGGGGCACTGAGCTCCTTGATTGTTTCTGTCCATGTGTTTTGAACTGCTCTTTGTCTGGTCTGTCACCTACAATATAGCTACAATTATGGATTAATATTACCTGCAAGATATTTGATTTTAAAGTTGTAGTATGTCAAAAAATAAAAACAACAAACACAAAATATTTTATATTTGGACTGAACCATTCCATGTAAGATCAGTTCAGTTCCTCCACCCTACAGCTCAGACAGAGGACACCAGCTGTGATTTACAGTCCCCTCCAAAAAACAAACAAACAACACCACAGTGCCTCAGTTGGTGGACCTGATGGCTCTCAGCAAGAAGGTCACCAGTTCGAATCCCTGCCCGTAGACCTCTCTGGGTAGAGTTTGCATGTTCTTTCTGTGCATGCGTGGGTTCTCTCCGGGTACTCCAGCTTCCTCCCACACACCAAAAACATGACTGTTAGGTTAACTGATAACCCTATGTAAGAAAATCTGTATTCAATAAACTGAAGTCGAGATTATAAACACAAATGTTAAATAAAATGATTTGTAGAAGGAATGAAAACCATACAACACCAGTCTGGAATCTAAGTGGAGGTTTATCGCTGCCACTGCAGACAGGAAACCCACACTGCCCATAAAACCGGAAGCTCATGTTTTTATACAGTTTCTTCAATGCCTTCGCTCGCCCCCTGCTGGCCTACGGCTGAGTCACAGGCATTCAGACACAATTCTCATCTAATGTCTTTCAAGCGTATTATTATGTGTTGTAAAAATGTTTCAGACATGTAACTAGACTTATTTCAATCAAGACATAACAGATTGAACACTGTCAATATTTCGAAAAGGAGAACTTAAGAATATAGTGTTGTGCTTCTAACATCAGTACTAGCCTACCTAACTCTAAATTTCTTCACACCTAAATTGTCCCTAGGTGTGAGTGAGAGAGTGAATGGTTGTTTGTCTTGTTTGTCTCTATGTGTGGCCCTGTGATGGACTTATGACCTGTTCAGGGTGTACCCTGCTCCTCAAAAAATGGGTTTACACACTACACGGTCCCGGCCTGGCCCAAGATGGTCCTGGCCCGAGATGGTCCTGGCCAAAGACCAGCCCGGCCCAAGACCAGCCCAGCCCTGCTTGTTTCGCACTGTGCGGAGAGCCGCCTTGAAGTGGGTGAACTTCTTACTGGAAAAGCGTGAATTTGGATAGTGACATCCTTTGGTTTGTGACTCAACAATGGACGTCGCCACTGAGCTCCTGTTTTGATGTTGTTCATGCAAGTAGTTAAATTACAGATTGCAGTGCAAGAATGGGTATGTAAACATAGAGTTAGACGACGAATGGCGATGCAAAATAGAGCGGAGAGGTACCAAAGGCTGTACCTGGCCATACAGCAACAACAAGAGGCTAGAGCGAGATGACATCGACTGGTAAGCTGTTAGCTAGCATTATTAGCTTGTTGTTACATGATAGCGTTATGAAAAGAGTTGCTATTTAGTAGATCTATAGGATTGTTAATGACTTGCCAGACTCGTCTGCAAACAAACCAATCAGCAGTACATGAAGTAAAACTGGGCCAATCAGACCGGCCCGATTGGAACCTCACCTGGCCAGGTTCCAGAAGTCAGGCTGGAGCTGGCCCTAAAAGGCAAATGCAAAAACGACAAAGCCGGGCCGAGCCAGGCTGGGGCGTGCCGTGTGTAAACCCCTACTGTGGCTGCTGGATATGGGCTCCAGTGACCCTGACAGGAATAAGCGTGTATAGATGAAGGATCAAAAGACAAGAGCTCAGAATGTCAGCTTTGTGTTAAACAATTCAGACCACACCAGCCTTTGTCTGAACCCACCCATTTTTCAAGCGAGCAAAACTATTGGAACATGTGACTGACAGGTGTTTCTTATTGACCAGGTGTTGCCTTTAAGGTTGATTGTTCAAACATTAAATAGCTCTACATGACTAGTCTACTTTTTGGACTTGGTTTAAATATATAAAGTATGTTTTTCTTGTAAAAGAGGATAAACCAACATGTAGACCAGAGAGACCAGAGAGCTGTCTTTGTGAGAAAAGAAGGAAAATCAATCAGAGCCACTGGACAAACATGGGGCATAGCAAGCACAACAATTTGAAATGTCCTGAATAAGAAAGAAACTACTGATGTGCTGAGCAGCACACGTTCATCTTTGTATCTTAAACCCAAATGTCTCCAGTGAACAACTAAAACAAAATAATTTGACCTGATGTTACAATACTTTTGGGGACTGTATTAGAGAGGTCTGGATAATTGAAGACATTTTAATTAAGTCTGATACAGATCACAATAATGAGCAGTTACCAATAGCATTAGTCTCATTTAGCTTGCTGTGTTTGATCCAGCTGCAATGCATTATGGTCTATTTCCTCTGTAATTAAACTCCTTACTGAAATTATACTTAGAATTTCAAATACTTCTATAAAACGGCTCCAGAAATCCCTCCAGAATACAGATTACTGGACTGGACGTGGCGTCACCTCCTTATGACATTCAAGCAACATTTTTATGCATTGAGCAGAACACGGTCTAAACAAACATGCAATAAACTTACAGAAGGCACTCAGTGCTTTAACTGTAGAAATGAGGACAGCAAGTTTAGAAAAACAAAGTGCATTACCAGAATGTTTCACAGGTAAATAATACACGTATTTATCCAAAATACGCGATTTGGTGCCAAAGTCTCAGAATTGCAATGAGAGTTATTTTTGTTACCAACAACATCCACAAGAGGTCAGATGTGTTTCTGATTCTCAACCAGCATATACTGTATTTATGTTTACATTTAAAAACTAAGAGCTGAATCAGCAATGGTGGCACCCACTTGGCCAGTTTTATTTTCCAGAGTTTCAAGCTTTTGCTTAATGTGCATTTTGAATTTCCTCTAGCTGTTTAGGATCAGCAGAAGAACCTCATTAACATAAAACCAAACATTGTTTTTGATTAATAAGAGCTATATATATA